CACTAAAAGAAGCATTTTATAGAACAAACTTACCAAATGTCAGGAATTTAATATCAACTGTTGTAGTCTCTGCTATTGTCACCTATCTTCAAGGTTTCCGTGTTGAAATTCCAATCAATATGGAAGTTATCCAATCAAGTTGTTTTACACTTCAAATATACCTATCATGTTTCAATCCATTCTTACCTCTAATGTTTTCTTGATTTCACATATGTTATATAATTGTTTTCCTGATAATTTGCCTGTTAGACTTTTAGGTGTTTGGATTGTAAGTTTATTTTTTTTATGAAAAATATGCATATTCATATAAAAAACTTATAAATTAATTTTAATTTATTATAGCCATTTGAAGGATCCTCACAATTATTTGCATCAGGTGGTCTTGCATATTACATATCACCACCACAAGATGCCATCAAAGATCCAATTCACACAATGATCTATATTGTTTTCATGTTATCAGCATGTGCACTTTTCTCTAAAGCTTGGATTAAAGTTTCAGGATCTTCACGCAATGTAGCCAAACAACTTAAAAATCGAGGTGTGGTTATTACTGGACATCATGACTTATCAATTTTCAAAGAATTAAATAGTAACATTCCTATTGCTGCTACTTTTGGTGGTGCTTGTGTTGGAGCCTTATCTGTTAGTGCTGATTTACTTGGTAAGTAATTTGATTGTTTTAGATGGTTAGTTGTTAAAAAAAAATCAATATAGATAATGAATTAATTGATATATATATTGTATGTGTTTATGACATTAAAGGTGTACTTGGTTCAGGCACAGGTATAATTTTGGCAATCACTATTATATGCTCATATTTTGAAATTTTTGCTAAGGTATGCAAGAAAAAAATATTTAGTATAATGGGTTTTTTTTTGTTTAATAATTCACCACATATTTTTTTACTTTCATTTTGCAAAAATATAGGTGAAAGCTGTTGAAGAAAATCTTGATGAATTATTATTCTAAAAAAATATATATTATTATTTTTTTAAAAAAATAAAGAAATAAACTTGAGCTACACTATTAAAAAATAAATAAAACTGCACCATTAAAGCTTTCAATGAATACTTTCTTATATTCAGAAGAATTCTTTGCATAAAGTTATGACCAACCAAAAACAGTATTACCATTTCCTTTGAAGCTGGGATTATTTTCCTGTGCTGCTTGATATATGGGTGGTAAAATGCTCTCTCTGCTAATCTTTCATATGAATACTACTTTATGGGGCATTTGTAATTAGTTTTAGAGAAATTACAAAAACTGTTTTAATAGAAGAAATGTGAGAATAGAGCAAATATTTCAAAACGAAGAATTAATTGCAACAACTTTTTATTATAAAAGTAAGTATTATAATTTACTATATAAAGAATAAGGAAATATATTTTTTTTTATGAAAATGCAATGCTTTAATTTTAATTATTATCTTATAATTAAAGGTTTTATGTGTGTTTATTTATTAGAGTAATAAATGTTTGGCAATTAGATATATATTATGATAATTACCAATTTGTTCACATGGCTGTTGCAAAGGTAAAATGAGTAATAAAAACAAATGAAAGTATTATAATTTATTTATATAATTATGTGAAATCATTTAATAAAATCAAAATTTTTAAATCAATTATATAATTGAACCTCAAGATGTATATGGTTATTTATTTAATTTATGAAATAATATAGGCTCTTAACATATCTGATATGATGAATAGGAAATAAAAAAGACATGTAAACCAAAATACCAAGGGTGCAGGTATAAATGTATTTTATTATAAATAATCATTGGATTTATTTTTGCTTTTACAATATACAACCTTGTATTTGGTATTAATCAATTAATTAGTTTAAAAAAGAGAAATTGTGGTCAAATAGTCAGGTGAGTTGCTGCACAACTATCAATCAGAAAAAAATATCTGGTATCAATCAAACGAGAATTGTTGCTCAATTATCAGCCAGAAAAAAAAAAAGCAACAATCAGGAATCATTATTATGATTAATCAAGAGATTGTGGCCAAACAATCTGGAAAAAGTTGTTATGCGACCACCAAAGACATTATATTATTTGGTGCTAATTAATTAAGAGAACAATTCATTAACCAGAAAATATTGAAGGGACAAACAACTTGATGTTTGTAACATTCCACAAAAGAGAATCAATCAATGGATTACTTTTTATTATTATTATTTTTGAGAAAATAGCTTTTATCCAATTATACTAATTATAACATTATGTAAACAAGTAGATTCAGATGGGGACTTTTTATCTAGTAGTCAATTTCTCAAGTTCTTCTTTGTCTTTGTATTCTCCAAACCTTTTACTCTAACATCAACAAAATCAACTTATCACCATCATTGGTTTTTGGATGATAATGAACTTCTGGCTCAACAAATTTTTGTTGGGAGAAGAACACAAATGAATGCGACAAATACGATTAAATGTTGCAATTGCTGCTCTTAGGATGACTTTGATTCTTAAAATTGAATATGGTACAAACGCCCACAGAATTACCAATGATGCCTCTAACACCATTGACACAATCTTCTTTAAACAATTCAAGATCTAAATCAAATTCTTCTCTGTGCCATAAATCTTCAATTACTAAATTACCTTTTGTCATAATTACTATTGTCATTCATTATCATCATCTTCTTCTTCACAATCAAGGTACTATCCTTCTCCATCTAGTTCCAACAATAATCACAACCATTATCATAACATGCCTAACGGTCAATTTCAATTTCTATTGCATTACTAACATCATCTACATCATCATCATTACCATCATCATCGTCACCTTCATCTAATTCTAACTCAGAATTTTCATTGTTCTCTAAATCGTTATCTTTATCAATAACGATGATAATAATGTTAATAATACCGATAATACTGAAATTAATGTCTATAATACCAACAACACATTAGTCTTAATCCGATTTCTTATTAAATATTCTTACTTGAAATAATAAATATCATAATGATCACATGTTCCATGTCTGTGTTGCGCGTGAATTTAAAATTGGCCAATTGAAATTTTGTATCCAAACACCCTACCCCAAAATTTTATGAAAATTTAATTCGCAACATTGCAACAACATTTGATGATTTATTATTATGGTCCAATGAATTATCTTGAGAATCCTTTACCATTTAATAACATCAATAATTTGAACACCGACATAGTCATTACCACCATCATAATTGTTCGTCTGGATTAATTTTGCCATGTTAATTAATGAATGAATGAATTTAGGTCTTATTTAGGTTTTTTTATCTATACATATTATACATATTATTAACAAGTTCTAATAATATGAAACATATAACATATAATACATATACAGTATATAGTATTCTTTTTTTTAATTGGCGGGCTTAATACTAATTTTTAATTACTTCTAATAATAATGATGCAGTGCAGTAATAATAGTAATATTATTAACAATTACAACAATATTAAGGATACGGTCTAGCACGTGATCATTTATTAGTAAATCTAATTCCAAAATTTTTGTCATACCGGTAACCAAATA